GAAAAAGGGCTTACTGGTAACAAGAAAAAATTGTGTTTAATAATCTTAAACTGGAACTGATACGGACATGAAATAATCTTTATAATAGAAGCATCTGCTGCTGTAGTTAGGGGGGGTATCAGTACTTCCATTAAGGACCCTTATTTTCAGGGTTTATAATGGTTTCATGCTGAAACTTGATATGCTAAGGTTTCAGTCTGTTAGCAATTAAAAGAAAAAGTTTGTGTGGGGTTTTTTTTTTAATTAAGCATCAAGGTTCTTACCTGGTTAAGGTAAGAATTCCTATAGGAGGGGAAAAACACCTAAGTGTAACTGTTAAAGAAAAACCTTCAGCTATGCAATGTAACCATTCTTAATTTTAAAAAGATTTTGTGCTTGTCAGCCCTCAGTGAAGCCTGTGCTCATAAATCTGCAAAGTTTTCAATGAAGTAAGCAAAAATTGCATCTCTGCAGCTGCTCTGGGTGGTGCACAGTCACTGACAGCATCTTCCCCAAGCTCAGAAAGCACCATGGGCAGACGTTGTGGTTGTGCAGAGTTTTCTTCAACACTTTGAAACTCTGCTTGAGCGCAGGAGTTTCCTGGCAAGGATCCCATTGTGGTGCTGGAGCTAAACCTTTGCTCTTTTGGCATTGATATTGGAGCTTCCTTGTTTTCAGAGGGGCCAGGAGGTAGCTCTTGAACTCCAGTGAGGTAGTTCATCTTCTATATATACACATATACACGTGCCCCCCTTTTGAACACCTGTATAACCGTGAAGTCTACAGCAGCTGTCTGAGCAGGAGTTAATGATTAAATGGCAAACATGCAGCAATTCTGATGCTTTCTGATCAAATCTCCTGTAACTGCTTGCTGCTTTTTGGTGTATTTTAAACTAGACACAGAACATACGTGTAAAAATGTTATGCAGGAATATCATTGCATCAGACAAGAAGTTGGTTGTTCTGTGTGATGTGGGTTTATCATGTAAAGTCTGTATTTGTCAATATGTTAATTAATAGTTTGGAACTGTTGTGTTTTCTATGAAAAATAACAACTATCTACATGTTTTTCTTTTGTCCAAGGAAAGTGTAGCCCTTGTAACTCAATGTTCCAAAGTATTTTTATAGTTCATTTTGCCATATTTATGTTAACATCTTAAATGAAAAATGAAAGAAAATGTGCAGTCCCGAGATGTCTCAGTAAGAGGAACATTATTCAGTTGAATTTCAGTAACTTTATTCCTCCTGCAAAATCTAGGTTTTGATGTCGTTTGGCATATCAGGTCATTTATGACTCCTAGATGCAGTACAACAAAAGAAAGAAAGTTTCTTCATAACCTAGCAACACAGATTAATTGAAGCTTTTGTCTTGAGTTATAAAATTGGATGTGTGTTCACATTGCATACATATATCCACAAGTGGTAGTGTACAGGAGCCGTGTTATGTCATCTTGTGAGCATATATGTCATCAGTCACTTTGAAACAAAGTTTTTCCTTTGGTCCCATTTCCAGTCTCTATATTCATCCGGATGTGGGTTTCAATCAGATTCCTTGTATTAACTGAGCATGCCTGTGTACTGGAGAATCTGACTCTTTACAGGATACATACCTGTATCTGTTACTGAGAGCAGTAAAACATCAGAAAGCACACTGCTTTTCATAAATCATGGGCCTTCATTTTCAGGAGCGTGCACTAAAGTTGGAGGTCTTCACAATTTCATAATCAGTTCAAGGCAGTAAAGGTGCAATTCAGGTCCTTAAGAAAAGGACTCTAGTGCCATTTGCTGCGTAGTTTCCTGGCTGGGATGCAACTGCCAGTCAAGAAGGCTGCAAATCTCTCACAAGTAATTTCTGCTGGCTCAGTTTGGATATCTTGGTATCTCAAATGTCCATAAAAGACCAATATGTAGACAGCTGAATCAAGTATAAAAGTCTGATTGGGATGCTGAATCAATTGAACTGAAAGAATTTGGCATAAAAATGATTAATAAGCAACCTCAAAAGCATGTGAAAAAGGGATTCCCTTCAAACTTTTGGAGATTGATAGACTCCAGTGCAATTTGTGAAATATACGAAGTTAAGTATGCCTTTTGAGCAAGCACATAGTATGCAGCACCTTGTGTTTTAAAGCCATCTGAGCCCAATTCAGTTTCATACATCAGTAGAAAGGAGTCGTCAGTACCCTGATTTACCTCACTGAGTTCCAGATATGTAGATGGTTCGAGGGAGATCTTGTTGTGGCCTTTCAGTACTTAAAAGGGGGTCTGATTTTAGCAGGGCCTGTTGTGATAGGACAAGGAGTAATGGTTTTAAACTAAAAAAAGTGTAGATTTAGACTAGATACAAGGAAGAAATTTTTTTACAATGAAGGTGGTGAGACACTGGAACAGGCTGCCCAGAGAGGTGGTAGAAGTCCCATCCCTGGAAACATTCAAGGCCAAGCTGGACGGGGCTCTGAGCAACCTGATCTAGCTAAAGCTGTCCCTGCTCACTGCAGGGGTGTTGGACTAGGTGACCTTTAAAGGTCCCTTCCAGCCCAAACTATTCTATGAAGAGTCCAAGCCAAGTTCTTGGTGTCCCTTAGTAGTCAAGAGAGAGGCAAGTATATGAAGAGAATCAGTCAGATCATAGGTTATCTTGCTCTCTGGAAATACTTACTTCTCTTTATTAAATACTGAAAGGATCCCAGGCCTGTTGTGGGCTGCTGCCTTGGCTTCTTTCTGTGTCGTGAGGAAACTCTTCCAGCCATCCTCTATCATTTAGTAAGGCCTGCTGTTCATGTCAGTCCAGATGAAAGCTCTGGGGTTGCCAAACAGGTGTGGAATGATCATACTTTGTCATGCAAAGATGATAATGCCCCTGTACATTCTCCAGGGTAGTCCTGAGAAAGAGGTGGTGCATTTTGGGGTGTGAAGCTGAGATAACTCATATCCCCAAGTGCAAATGGCGTTCTTTGCCAGCCTGAGGGTGAGATGATGCAAAATGTCATTGTGGCACAGGACTGCGTACCTGCCCACCTTTCTTTTCTCAGCATGTGAACCGAGTGCACCCATGATGTGAGGGAGTTGACCAGGAGCTGGCTGGTGAATAATCATGTTGGGTTATATACAGCAGTGAATGATAAGTTGAGTACCTCCCCTGAGTCAGCTCGAAGGACCTATGATCATGCTGAGTAACACCTATATTCCACACAAGCTGTTTACTCCCTGGAGCTTCTCTCATCAGCGCAGCTCAAAGGGAAGGAAGATTTCAGTTCATCCCTAAAATGACAGTGAATTTATGCCAAGAATGCTTAGCATTAGTAGGAAAACGGAGTATGCAGATACATGGCATCTTAGATATTTGATTTTAAAAACTTGTAGATTTATGTTTTCTGATATTGGAATCTAATCACTCTTCTTTTCCCTGGAAATGCAGAGAAAGGAAGAGTGCTGATACCATTCTTGGTCTTCATAGCTCAGCATTGTCAAGGCAAATAAAATCTCTTTCACTGTCACCCATAACTTTTTCTGTGTTGGACTAGATGATCTTTCAAGGTTCCTTCCAATCCCTAACATTCTGTGATTCTGTGATTACAGTTTTTATTGGTATCTGAAACTATGAAGCCTGCATTCTATGTCTGTAAAATATCTGTGGGTAGTAGAAGCACTTATTTGGAGAAGATATGCAGAAAATCAGGGATATGAAATTTTGTCTAGTTTCTTTGGGTGTTCATGAATTCATAATGTATTAAAATAATGGCAGTGCATTGTGATCAGAATCCCTGACATATTTTAGCGTTTTGTTTTCACACTTAGTATAGCAAAACACAAATTTTGTTGTCAAAGTTAATGGAAATACTAAAATCCAATCCATAGTTTATGCCAATTAAAAAGAATCAGTCAAGCATATGGCCTCGTAAGTACTTCTAGCATCTTCACACTCTCGGAAGGTTTGAAAAAAAAGTTATGCAATATATAAGTAAGAATATAAGGTTCAGTTTCTATATTTGGACTGAAAAGAAGTAGACTATGTAGGATGAAAAACTATAAAATTAGAAGTCCCTGTGAAATGTTGGTGTATTGTGTTTCTGTTTAATATAATAGTTTAAACTGGCATTTCTAACCACTGCAAACACCTCAACGTAAAATTTAAATTTATATGATGTAATGAAAGTGCATTATGCCATACAAAGATAATTCCTATTCATAGCAAGTATCAGCAAGGATACAGATTTTCTCAAAGAAATCTGCTTTGTTAGTAACTGTAGTTCGTAGACACAAAATGTCTGTATTTAAGTTGCCTCATTTTTGTGAAAATGGTAATAAAATTGCATCTGTATGTTTGCCTGTGTACATTTCTTTTCTCACGATCAGTGAATGTTTGCAGTTGGTAATAAATATTCAAGCACCTTGCAAATGTCCTACCAATTCCCTTTGCTGATCTGTGTGTGCCTGTGGGACTAGAATAGGAATGCATAATTTAAATATAAATTGCTTGATTTGCATATACAATTAGCCTAGCTGCAGCTTTGATCGTAAGCAAAAATTATTGTCCTGTATTGCCACTTAGATAGAATTTTAATTCACCTTGAATATTCAAAGTAAATTAAGCCTTGGCTGTATGGTTGAAGGGTATGATTTTTTCCCCTCCTGAGGCTTTCCCCTAAACAACATTTATGGTAGGGTAATATAAGGGCATATTTTCAGCCTCATAAAAATAAAGGCGTAAGTTTTATCTCTAAATCCCCCCACCCCCCCCCAAAAAAACAAAACACCAAAACAAAACAAAAACTTCAGTTGAAACATCTCTTGCAGACAGGCACGCACATAAAACACACACACACACACAGTAACAGAATTTTTCTTTAATTGTAATTAATTCCATTTTAGTCAGTACATGGCTTAAAGTTAAGTCTTTATTGTAATTTCCTTAATAACTGAAAATGGAGACTTCACATAGTCCGTATTTTTTTTAAATAACAAGTGCAGAACTATGAGGTATAACTCAAAAGTTACTGACTTAGTATCTGTACATAAGAATTAGGTCTATGTGCATGTGCATGCACACAAATACATGGGCTTAATACAAGGACTGAAACTCAAACCTGTAACACAGTTGTAATACTTAGATTTTAATCTACAGTAAAACATTTTTATTAGAAATCTATGTTTTTAATTAAACAGAACATTTAATTAAGGTGTTTTTTAAGTGGATGAAACAATTAAGTGCAAACACTTGAATGAAACATGTCATAATTAGTTTTAATAGAGTGTTAATTGGTACTAGGTTTGCCAAGTTAATAATTACTGCTTATTAAATTTTCAATTAATCATTGTCATTTTGCTTTGAATAAAGATGAAAATTAGATAAACTAATTCAGGGGGAGGATGGTTTCCTTGTTAATTAGAGCAGTTAATTAAAAAAAAAAAAGAAATTACTTGTTTTAGTTGTCAATTAAAAGACTGTTCATTAGCAAAATCTTTGCACTCTTCCTGCATCAAAACCCAAATAACTAATTTGTGACAGTCTATGTTTTCCGGAATAAAAGATACGATGCTAGTATGTACTGAATAAACGGCTCATACTGACTTAGTTATTTTACAAGAAGCATGAAGGTTTGAATTTAATGAAGCAGTGTGCCCCTGCTCAGTGTTAATTGTACACTGAAGCCTTGCTGGCTATGGTGTGCTCAAGAGCTCGACGGAGCCAGGAAGTCAAGTCTTCACAGTGTAAACATGGGTTTGAAGGAGAGATCAAGAGGTCAGGTGAATGTTCATAAACAAGTTTTAATTTTGGCTCATAAAATTACATGTCCAGGAAAAGATACTAGACTAGTGATTTAAAATTTTTAAACAAAAACTCTTGGGGATGTTTTTAACTTCATGTATTTATTCATTAACATATGGGAAAAAATTGTTAATGACTGTAAATCCTGTCTTAATTTCCAGAGCTTAAAGATACATTTTTTAAAAAAAGTCTGTAATATTAAGTCTTAAATAATAATTCTTGCCCAACATATTTATGAATCTGGTGTGCTGCAAAACCAGTTTTCCAAGTAAAATGTTCAAAAAGATTGCAAAAATAAGGTGCCAGAGATCTCAAATGTCTGTACTTAAAGAAGTACTGACTGTGAATCAAAGTAGCAAGAATCATCACAAGTGTTAGAGACTTTGGTGATGGGGAAGTAAAGAAGCACTTCAGTGGTCTTGAAGAGTCTTGAGGAACCAGGTTCCTCTGTGTCCTTCTACTCAAATGAAGACTCGATATAATAGAGTGTGTGCTGTATTTCACGCATCAGTCCTACGTTAGCCCTGTGCGAAAAGCCCTGTGCTGATGAGCATTTCTCCCCTCCTTTCTAGAGGAAGCTGTCAATGAAGTAAAGCGTCAGGCGATGGCTGAGTTGCAGAAGGCAGTGTCAGAGGCAGAGCGGAAAGCTCACGACATGATCACTTCAGAGAGAGCCAAGATGGAGCGCACTGTTGCCGAAGCCAAGCGCCAGGCTGCAGAGGATGCACTAGCTGTTATCAATCAGCAGGAGGATTCAAGCGAGGTAAGGCCTTCACTGGGCAGGCATCACCTGTGGCTGCAAACCGTAGGTGTATCTGAGCTACCTTTAATCTGCTGCAGGCTGTTCATGTGACATGGGAGTTCAGTGCCTGCTGTTAATTGTTTGCACAGTTGCTTTGGATGCGTATTTCGGGCACGTGCTGAGATCCAAATTTTCTTGGCTGCGTTATTGTCTGAGCCCAAAATAGCTAGTGAACTTAATCTGTGTTCTCACCTTTTAACTGCTTTTCAGGGTTACATACAATGCACACATTTCTGTTCTAATTTAGCTTTTCAGTAGCTTTATTTTAAAGCTCTTCAAGCTACTATATTGAATAGATAACAAGATTGCTTAGTGGAAAATATTTCACACTGAAGTCTAATTTAAACAAAGAAATGATTCATTTAAGAGATTGTAGAGCAAGGTGGCTAAAAGCTTGTCTGAGGAGAGTGTTGGATGTAGAAGTGATTGGCAAAATACGATGATTCTGGTAGGGCAGAATGCGAATGTAGATTTGCAAGTGTTTCCTTATTTTGAATGTGTTGCTTTGGCTGCAAGGAATATTTATGAGTTGAGTGAGGTGTAGGCAAACAGCATTTGGAAAGCAAAGAAATAGACTGGAAGGGCAACGAAGAGTAAAATAAGAATAGGTACGTTAAGCCTTGATTTACTTTTAGACCTCAGAGCGGAAGCCTTGAATTGCTGTGGTGCGGGACATCCGGGAGTGAAAGAGCAGCATGTGTTTGACCACTGCTGCAGCAGTCTAGATAGCAATTAAATTTTACGTCTGTTACAGGAAAACAACGTCCTCAGTTAAAACTGCCCTTAAAAACAGACATGACAAAGAAATGGTGTCAGTTAAAAGTTATTGGTGTATAATCTTCATCTTTCAAGACCACTGAAATGAAAGAATGTTACTTTCATGAAGTATTTATTGTTCTTGTACTAAGATCTTGGCTGTAGTAAAACCACTTTTTAATATAAATTCAAAATGGCAGGGAGTTGGAAGAAAAAAAAAAAGGGTAGATCATGGTGCCTGTTGTGTGAGGACATATATTTGTGTACACCAATGTCAGAGTGCTGGATGAGCAGCGTTGTAGAAGGGTCGCTTAAGTTGAACAATGCAGATAACCCAGCTGCAGCATGCTGAAAAAACTGGCAAAAATCACGAGCAGATAAGTCAGTGGCATGCTGCAGTATGCATCCATAATTTGAGGGAGCGTAAGATTTTAATTCATACCAGGCTTCTCCGGAGATGAAAGACCATTGTGGGATCACTGAATGCCCAGAGTTTCTCCTTAATGTGTAGCAGATGAATAACAAGGAGACAAAAGGAATTGATTTTCAGCATCTGAAAGTTTCTCAGGAAGAAAGGGACTAAGGGAAGTGTATGTACCCTTTAAGTACTAACTGTTCCATTGTAGATTAAATGAGACATAAATTCAATTTATTGGCATTTTGTATCTGAGATACTCAAGGACATTTTTCCTGCACTATGTTCATAGAAATGGCATTTTTCTGACTTAGCATCATTAAAGAGCTGTCATTTTGTGTGTGTATATATACAAGAGCCTCTTATTGTTAAAACCAAAATTCCAAAGGAAAATGTCTTTGGAGGAAACAGCAAATTAAATCTGTTCAGTGAACTGAGAGGCAGGACAGAGGATGTACTTATATGCCAATACATACAGCCCATTCTTCCACAAGCAAATGTGCATCCAAAGAAATGCATAGAGAGTTTGTGTGCTGTAGTTAACTCCTGAGCAGTCATAGCTCTGGGAAAATGCTGTACAACAACAGACATCTTTACTTCTTCTCCAGCAGAACTGCTTACAAGGTTGTTCACTTCTTGGAAACAGGACTTTAAAAAAAAAGGCAAATAATTATTTTAATTGCTTTCTAGTGAAGTGTGGCTTGTAGGGTTACAGATGTTCTCAGGGCTGTGCATCCCCAGGGAGGATACAAGCTTCCTGGACCTAGAAATGAAGTCTAGTGTCCTGGTCCTGCAGCTTTCACCCCTGTGGTCATGAGTGGCACATCAGGGTGGCTGTTTTGAGGTGAAAAAGGCAAGTTTTGTTAAACCTGCAAAGAGAATTCAAGTTTGCTCAGTTTGTGTTTACAGGTGCTTGATTAATTGTGAAGGGAGATGACAGTGATACTTATTTGAGAATTAGATGTGTCTCTTAAGTTTTTATAATTAATTCGTCTTGGGCTTCTAATTATGCCTAACTCCAAACAGTTAGGGCAATGCTTCTCACAGTTACCTGTTAACTCAGGCTGTCTTTTTTTTTTTTTTTGCATAACTCCTGTAGGAATGGACCAGACTTTTCCTTCATCTTTGAGGACAGGAGATCAGTTTGCCAGTGTTTGAAAAGTGTTTCTTTGGAGATGAGACCTTGCGTTTATCAGGGTTGAGGAATAAAACTTCACATTTGCTTTGGTGTTCTTTATCTCTTGATCTCTCTGTGAACGTCCCTCCTCATTTTTCTAGGTTATAAGTCTCCATAAACTTCTGTTAACAACTTTCAGCAGAACACTTCAAGCAGTGCGGATTCCTGTATACTAATGGCACTGGAGTAATATCTAGAATATTTCCAGTTCCAAATACGAGAATGCTGAAGAGCAGCTTCTGCAGTCTTACAGGTCCAGAGGAAGGCTGAGCATAACTCCTCATTTCTTATCCTTGCCAGGACATTACACTGAGGCCTGCAAGAGAGCTCAGTAAAGGCTGCTGTGTAATCTCCATGCAGTTACTGACAGAGAGTATTTCTCCCACGGGTGTCATTTGCACTTTTGGCTGTTGAAACTATGAATGGAGATGGGAATTTGGCACCAAATTTCTAATGTATCAGATACAATTTTCATCTGATACGGCCACTCCCTGTCTATTGGCAAGGTTTCTCCCTTACAGCTTTTCATTCGTTGCTCAGTAAAATGCAACCTGGACTTTGCTGAGGCTTCTTGAAACTGCTGTGGTGTGAGCACTTTGTGACATGTTTTTTATTGCAGTCTTCTCCAGAGCTCAAATTGATAACTAGTGCTAAAGACTCAAGATTTTTGTGAGTATTACAATTTTAAGAGAATATGTAGTCTCATCCAAGACCTTTCAGATGTCTCACAAAGAGAAGTAGATTGTAGGGGGTTTGTTGTTGCGGTGTTTTTTTCTGGTTTTGTTTGGGGTTTTTTGTGTTTTGCTTTGCTTTGTTTTTAACCCAGAAGAAGTAGCATCCCTGAGTACAAGATTGTCTGCAAGTAAACAGGAAGTTGGGCATGTTGAGCTGGCCGGAGCAAAGGAAAGGGAGCTGAGGACAGTGAGAGGGCTAATAGGGACGGTGTGATATTTGGAAGCATCTTGACTTTTAAGAAGTGCTTTGCAATATTTTGAGAATTAGCACATTACATAGTATAGTTTTAATTTCTGACTCTGACATGATCCCTTGTTGAACTATTGTTATGTTTGAAATGTTCAATATGATTTAACTCGCAGTGCCACTGCTTCAGTATCTGTGCATTTACTGTCTATAAAGATTTCCATAGTTTCTCAGCATAAGCCCTTGTGACTGACCAGGACATGTTCATTGTTTTCTGTTACTCTAATGAGAGATTGGTTGAATCTTAGAACGGCTAAGAGAGCACACTGCTGTTGGAAAGTAAAAGGACAGGAGAAGGCCTACCTGTCAGCATGGCTGTTCCTGAACCACAAATTATTTCTTTACCAGTTCCTTACAGTTGCTTGACAAAAGATGACCCATTCATCAGTAGTTGACTTGGCTAAGTTCAGAAACATGTGTGAGCAGCCTACTCTTCAATGACTGCCGTGCTTTCTTTGGCTGCAATGTACTGTTGTACAAATCAATTTTAATAGTAAGGGCGAAGAGCTTAGCAAAAAAACTGGCTGCCCAGATTGGGGTGGAGGGAAATCGTCAAAACATCTGTCTTTCTGCTCTGGTATAAAATGACACTGAAAAATCTGACACTCACTGTTCTTCTGCACTTTTGAATAGAGTGGGGGCTGGGGACGGGGAAGGAACACAAATGTTTCGGTTCTCTCTGCTTAAAGCAGATGCTGACATCTGCTCAGATAAAACAAGTATGTAACTGGTCCAACACTGCTTTTAAGAGATGTGTAATGTTAGGGCTTGTTTATATTGCAGCAGTTTATGTTGTATGTGAATATCACGCTTACCTGACATTTTGAAGACAGCTGGGTTCAATCTCTGCTGACCAATCCATTGAGACCAGGACTGTGCCAGCAAACCTGACTCTGAGCATCAGATGCTGTGATTCAGGCAAGGCTAGTTTTTAAGCTGGTGTTAAATTTAATATGTATGTCAGCTAATGTTTAATTTTTTTGGCTGGGCATCTCTTAGTAGCACATCATCCCCTGCAGTGGTAGGTGGTAAAGAGACACCAGAGCCATGTGTTCTGTGCAGGATCAGTCCAGATGTAATGTGAACATTGGCACTGCCCCAAACTGCTAAGCTAAGCTAAGCCTGGCTAGCCAGCTTGCATGTCTCTTCTGTATGCTTCTCCGCACTTCTATTTTCAGGATTTAGTTTCTCTCATGCTGACTTGTATGAACATAGATGTACTTCAGACAACAAACAGTGGCTTGGGTAAGCCTGGAGTGTTTAGCCGTAGGTGTAACTTTACTAGAAGCATCTTAAGGTTTGACTATCTTCACACGGAGCACTGTATTTTGATGCAGCGTGGGAATTTCCGAAATAGCAATGTGTTTCCTTTCTAACAGACCTTGGATAGAATTTTCATAAACAAATTCACTGGTTTTTTGCACAGGTGTTCAGTGGCTTATACAGTCCTCATTTACGCCACTGTGGTTTCAGTGATTTCTAGGTGTTCTTTTTCTTGTGGTTATCGGTGATAGAGTTTTGAATTCCATGGGCATTGCACAACACATCTGTGTTCTTCGTACCCTGCCATGCTTCCTTTCCTGGTAAACTAGGGAAATCCAGAATTTGTCAAAGATGACAGAGCAGTGTTTGGCATTGTATTACAGCATTTCTGAGTCCATCGTCTCTTTGACA